GTCCTCCGTCATCGTAAAAAACTCACAGAATAGCAGATTTAAATTTTTTAATTACATGATCATCTACAGGAAGAGAGATAAATGATCCACCTGAGAAAAAAAATAGAAACAGGTCACAAAGATGCATTAAATAGATTCAAGAAGTACCAGTATTTCATTCAGAAAAAGATTAAAACGTCTAATTAAAACAAAATTGGACCTATTATATTAATAGAATTAGCTCTCAGCTATACAAAATTCCATTTCGAAACATTGATTAAAATGACACAAAAACGTAGATATGTTTTCGAAAGATAAATTTAATTGATTAACATAACCCTTATAGAATTCATAATGCAGGTATACTTACTTGAAACATGATGGAAGAACATTTGGCCATCAACAGAATGCACGCCACCATCAGCACGCACTAGGAGGAGGTGTTCGTTCAAGGTGAGTACGGTTACGTTATTCATTTTGTTTTTCGACAACAAGCATTGTCTTTCGCGCCAAACAACCTACCACAACCGCACTATCAACCTCAGGCGCGTTTTCGTTTCGCTATCACGAGCGACCAGAGGCAAACAAGACCGTTTTCGTTTCTGGTTGTGACGTCATCGATGCAATCACGTGAGCCGTGGTAGCTGCTACCGCGCTGCCATGGTCTCGAGGATGATAGTGCGGTTGTGGTAGGTTGTTTGGCGCGAAGTGCGAAAAGAGAATGAATGTAACGGGTCACCCACTCTTCATTAGCAATTATTCCTATTTTGAAATGAGATATTCTATCCTTCAAAAAGAAAAGGACAACCCTGTTTGTAGGTTGTAATTGATAAATATTCACAATGTGTGATAAATCGTCCATCAATCACTTCCATTATACAAAATAACACAGATAACCTCACATTTGGATCCATCATGATCATGACACATGAAGCAAACCGCTAACGCGTTTGTGCATTGCCTGCTCGAAACGTTTTATTCTCGATTACTATTTGTGACGTCATATTATCAAACACGAACCAACCGCTTGTAGCGAGGTAGCAGCAACGAAAACGCGCCTCTCGAGAGCATGGCAGCGCGGTAGCAGCTACCACGGCTCACGTGATTGCATCGATGACGTCACAACCAGAAACGAAAACGGTCTTGTTTGCCTCTGGTTGCTCATGGTAGCCGAAACGAAAACGCGCCTTCTGGTAACAGCGTGCGAAGCTAAGACGCTTAGTAAAAATTTTATGTTCGCGCAGTTAACTACTAGTGAAAATGAAGTATACTCCGCAGGAATATACGGACATGATTGTGGCATACGGGCTAGCGGGAGAAAATACTTATCGTGCGGCTGCAATTTACATGGAATCATTTCTCGGGCGTGCACAAAAACCAAGTGGCCGTACAATTTTACGTGTTGTGCAATAATTATGTGAAACTGAGTGTCGTGCATAATATCGGGATAACCGCTCCAGCAGTGCGTCTTCGTGTGCGAGATGAAGAAAGGATTCTTGAAGAATTTTATCATCGTATCACATTATCAACAATAGTGCACATCACAGTGTGCAATACATTTTATCGAGGGATTTTCAACCACGAATCAATTTTTGTAAAGGTACTGTCCATTAATTTTTTACATTACGATATATTCAGCGTATAGTAAATGGCATTTTGAATAATTTTTAAATTGAGAGTGGAATAGGCCTATGGGGGAAACCACTATAAAAAAAGCGCACCATGCTATCTACTGCAAGGTGGTGTGGAAATGATAGGGCATCATTTTCTCGCCACGAAAAGGGGGGACGGGTCATTTTTCGGCGCGGTATTGCGATATATCGCAAACCACCATCACGTCTCGGAGAGCGACCCGCCCACCGCTTCGCCGCGCTCGTAGTATCAGATTACGATGGGACGACTCTCGTTGCCGCGCGCTTTTACTCACGCAGATTGGCCGATCTTTTTTATTTAATATTTCGTTAATTATTGCGACAATCCCAAAACAATACAGGTCATTTCTTCTTAATTCGAGCCAATCTACTTATTTATTTCATTAAGGTCGAAAATCGACGGACACCCTGTATATCAAATATATATCAAGTATATCAAGTATATACGTACGTATGTATGTAAAGAAAAAGAGATAGGGAGAGAGAGAATAAAATAGAAATAGAAACAGTAAGGCATAAAAAAGAAAGAGAGAGAATTTTAAGAAAGAGAAGAGAGATAATAGAAAATAAAATAATAAATGAGAAAAAGGTAGAGAGAGATTGAGAAATTAGAAAAAAAAGAAAAATATTGAAAATATTAAATATATAATAAATATTATTAATGTTTTTATTTTTTCTTCAGAGTTAAAGAAACGAATATTAAAATACAGAGAAAAAGAAAGAGAAAAAAGGAAAAAAGATTCATGAAAGAAGTAGGTTAAGAAAGAGAAAAGACACAGAAGAGAAAAAGAAGAAAAAGAAACAAATAGAAAAATGTGCGTATTTATATGTTTAGATATGTATATGTGTAGTACGCGTTAATAATTTGTTCCGTTTCTCTAGCAAAGATTGATAATCTATTCTTTGTTAATCCATAGGATTCTTATACATTAATAAAGGATAGATATTACCAATCCTCGTTAGGGAAACGGAACGAATCATTGACGCGTACTATATATGTCTATGTTTATATATATATGTTTATATATATGGGTGTGTGTGTATAATTTTTTATAAATATATGTATAAAATTCATTGAAAGACAGAGAAAGACAGAGAAAGAAAGAGAGAGAGAGAGAGAGAGAGAGAGAGAGATAGAAAATAAGATAATAAAAAAAAGAGAGAAGGAGAAATTAAGAGATTGAAAAAAGAAAGAAAAAGAATTAAATATAAAATATATTGAAAATGCATTTTTAATGTTATTGCTTTTTATTTATAGTTGAAGAAGTTGAATATTAAATATTGTTATTAAATATTATATGTATACTTTTTATTTAGAGTTAAAGAAGCCTAAATAAAAACAAAAGAAAAAGAATAGAGAAAGAGAAAGAAAAAGAAGGAAAAGAAAAGATATTGTAAATGTTTTTACTTTTTATTTATAGAAGATATTTATTTAAAGAAGTCTAAAAAAAGAAAAAGGAAAAAAAAGAGATAGAAAGAGAAAAAGAAGGAAAAAAATTCCTGAAAGAAGAAGATTGAAAAAGAAAGATTGATAAAGGCAGATTAAGAAAGAGAAAGAGAAAAAAGACAGAAGAGAAAAAGAAGAAAGAGAAATAAAGAGAAATATACGTATTTATATTTAGATACGTACGAGTATATGTACAGTACGCGTTAATAATTCGTTCCGTTTCTCGAGCAAAGGTTTAGAATATCTATCTTTTGCTAATCCATAGAATTCTTATACATTAGTAAAGAATAAATATTACTTTTTATTTAAAGTAAAAGAAGCCTAAATAAAAAGAAAAGAAACAGAAGAGAGAAATAGAGAGAAAATGAAGAAAAAAAAGGATATTATAAATGTTTTTACTTTTATATTACAAACCTACGCTAGGAAAAAACGGAACGAATCATTAACGTGTACTATACATCTCTATGTTTATATTTGTATATATGTATGTGTGTATATAATTGTATATAAATGTATGTATGTATTAGAATCACATTGAGAGAGAAAGAGACAGACAGATAGAGAGAAAAAGAGAGATAGACAGACAGAGAAAGAGAAAGAGAGGATATAAATGACAGAATGTGAATGGTATAGAGAGATTGAGAGAAAAATAATGAAATGTTTGAAGAGAATGAAAAGGTAATAAAATAAGAAAAAAAGAGGGGCAGAGAGAGAGAGAGAGAGAGAGAGAGAGAGAGAGAAGAATAAGATGTGGAAAACAAATTTAATTTTTTTAAGTGTATTTTTTATTTAAAAATTATATATGTTATAGAGAGTTAATAGAACTACAGGGTGTCTCTGAACGCAGTGCCAAAATTGATACAGCAACTTTAGGATATAAAAACCAATCGAAAATGTTAATAAACATATGTCCAATTTTGAATGGTTTAGAAGTTATAATGTAATAAAATTTTTTTCTTAGGACAATATAAATTGAAATAAATGTTGTTTAATGTTATTTATTTTGTTTAAAACTTTACCAAAGATGATTAAAAATTAAAAAGCAACTTTATTACTTTGAAACTACAAAACCATTCGAGAATTCGGACACATATGTTTATTAACATTTTTGGCTTTAGGACATGAAAACAAGTGGGAAATGTTAATAAATATATGCCCGAATTTTCGAACGATTTTGAAGTTATAAGGTAGTAAAGTTGCTTTCTTAAAACAATATAAATTGAAATAAATGTTGTTTAAACAAAAATATATCTTATATGAATTTACTTGCATATCAAGATGTAATTATAATCATATGTATATATATTATAAATAATGTAACATTAGAATTATATATATATAAATTATTTGTATATATAAATATATATAATTATATATACATTTTTTTTAATTATATGATAAAGTAGAAGGAAATAAATGGCGCGCGAGGAGCGCGCGCAATGTTGTGTACTAGTCGTTATAAAAATAATCTTGTATTGCAAAGAAAAAATTATGAGAAAAAATCATTTCAAAAAAAAAGAAAAAAAAAACGAAATTATTTTAGATGTTGATCATTAATTGATAAAACACATTCAATATACACAAACAAGAAACAATGGTTCCTAAATATGTTATTGCGCTGCTAATGTGAAAAGTATCTCGAGTATTTATCATCGGCACCGCCAAAGAGCCTTCATACCGGAAGAGCTCATCATGCTTCTGAATCTAAGGAATCGTTATCAAGAATTTACTGTATTATCGTGAAAAAGAGAAAGAGCCTTTGTGAAACTTGCTTTAAAATATGGATAAGCAACTAATTACTTTTTTTTAATTTTTAGATATACAATATTTTTGCATTAATCATATTTATTATTTGTAATAAATTGCAATAGAATAAATCATATATTAAGAAAAATAAGAGAGGAGGAAAGAGGAAGGAAAAAAGTTTGATGTATAAAACTACGATGATAGTGCACACGTGATGGTGAACACGATTCAAATCTAATATTTCATAATTCAGCATGCCCGTTCACATAGTTCTCGTTTTCTCCTTTGACGAAATGGATTTATACAATCAAGTGTACAGTATAGAAGGATCAACTTTAAAATGTATTCAGAACTATATTCGCAATGTCGTAGGATTGGCGCCGGTTATTTTTTCGGGTAGAGGATTCTTTCAGTATTTGTTTGGTCTTATTCCAAATCGATTACCTGTAGTAGTCGGTAAAGTTCTCACTACATTTCATAATTTAATATATACGTTATGATATGTGTATATTAAATTTTTTTAATATTATCTTCTTTTATTCTCTATAAATTGTTATGTTTCCTTTCTTCATTTTGCAGATGGCAATCTTCTCGAGCTGTCGAAAATAGAAAAACTCACAGTGGAGTAAATTGATGAATATTACAAAAAATTATGGAACATTTAATTGAGTTTTTCGAAACGCAAAAATACAATTATATAAATGCGAGAACAACTACTCTCGAAATCGACTTGTGATATGTGCTCAATAGGATGATATCATCTAAATTATAAATTTGTTATTTTATTTGTAAGTTTCTCCAACTAATTATCATTTTCTTAAGAAGTTTAAAATATTTCGAAAAATGAAAGAATTAGATATGTATTTAATATGTATTATTATGTTATATATATATATATATATACATATATATATATATATATATATATATATATATATATATATTTATTTATTTATTTGACTCAATTTGAATATATTGATTTAATATAATCACACGAGTTTTATATTATCATACATCTATATGTAGTTTTATGATATTTCTAAACAAACGAATTAATTAAAATAAAGTAAAATTTCTATTTTTCTAAATAAAAATATACAAAAGCCAAATTTAGTAAATTAATAAGTAAATATAATAGAAGATTGCAATTATTGTGTGGACAAATCGAACAATTAAACGTGTCATTGCAAATTGCAAAAACAGTCATGTATACGAATAATAAAAAAATTGTTTTATTAAAAACGATTTTTAGGTAATTATTAATTTTAATAATTATATTTTTATTATCATTAGATTATAACGTATAAATTGACAAGTGATCGCATTCAGATAGTACTTTGCGCTAGAAAAATAGCTAAACCGGCTACAATAAAAATTCCAAAACACCAAAGATTCATTCTTAATACCTGTAATAAAAAAATCATTTTTGAATCGTTTTTATTATGTTTTTATCTTATTCTCGTACCTTGTCCTGCCATTCCTTATGGGCTATGCATTCGCGAAAACTCATACGAGTAAAATGCACGCTGAAATAAAGCGGTATCCAGGAATTGGGAATGAACGTATACAAAATTTTGTCCACGAATTTTCGTAGAAGGAAAGATTTTCTCATTACTAAATCTCTCATCTGAAAGACATAAAAACATGCTTAATTTCTTTCAATTCAATAGAGATATCCAATATGGTAAATATTGTCACGAAATAAACCTCCAGATAATTATACATTGCAAGATCACATATTGCATGGCCATCGTCGCATCGTAATTCCGAAAATTTCGGTAGAATTTTGGCAAAGTCCGAATTATAGCATTCCATTAATTCATCGAGCAATAAAACATCCTCAAATCCCTGATAGAATAAATAAATATTTTGTAAAAGAATATTCTGTTTACTATATACTTTGTTCCACACATATGTATATTAATATTGCATAACTACGTTAAACGTTTTTCTCCAAGTGCGATAAAAAATAATTCACAAAATTATTTTATCAATTCGATAAAATCACTTACAGCATTCATTCCTTGAGCATAAAACGGAACCATCGCATGTGCTGCGTCGCCAATTATAAGAGCCGTTTTCCCAACGTGATAAGGTTTACACTGCAAAATGCGACATCATGCTTATCCAAATAAATTGAACGGTTATGAAATAAAGTATACTAATAAAATGGAAATTAACCTTAATCGATATTAACGTTTGCGGTTCTCTTTCAAAGAACTGTTGCACCAATCTTTGCTCGCCGATTAGCCGCAAAAGATCAGGAAAATGCTTATTGTAGAATTTTAATAACGCCACGGATGTTTTCAGTTTTTCCAGCACATGAAATGGAGCGAATAAATTGCCAGTAAACGTGCGATCTTTGTTCGGTAACGAAGTCATCATGAATTCACCACGCGGCCAAATATGAAGATTGTTACCGCTCATCGCAAACTATCAAGAAATTGTCCGTAGGTCAAACAAATGCGATTCAATTGGAATTATCGCGATACTTACCTCGTTATTTTTTCCAGCCGGCACGGAAAGTTCAACGTAACCGTGCTCAATATATGTTTGTATGTAATTAAAGAGTGGTCTTTTAGTCATAATTTTTCGTACTTTCGAGTACGCACCATCCGCGCCAATTATCAAATCAGCTTCTGCATCTTCTATCGTTCCCGTTTTCACACTAAAAACAAGAGATATAGCTAAGTGGAATACGCTCGCTTGTTCGATCACGATGCTTACTCACTTTAAAAATTTCATTTTTCCCTTATCCAAATTGGCATCCACGAGTTTTTTATTGAAATTGATTTGCACCTTTGGATATTTCTCCGCGGCTATCCATAAAATGTAAAAAATCGATAGAATGAGATTCAAATTGTTTACTTGAATTAATTTTTGCATCGAACTGGTTTTACTCGATATTATGTTCACGCGACTCAAGTCTACATTATAGAAAGCGGTGTCACAAGTAAGGTGATATGCGCAAAATTTTTGCGGCTTCACATATACGATGTCATCAGATATCATGCACATGTAGATCTTGTAACTTGATTTGATTAAAAAAGAAATAGTTTTTTATTTTTCGTATCCAATCATCAGCTTTAATTTATAAGATGATTGAGATAATTAAGAAATGTGATATTTCTTTTTTAAATAAATTAGGGTAAAAAATATCGATTAAGAGAAAAAAAAAAGAAATATTTTATCTATGTGTGCTAAAAAGTATTCACAATACATTTCTTTTAGTATTTCTGTTTCTGCAATGAAATTAGTTTCGATCTTCATTTATAAGTTCTTTTCAATCGGCAGGCAATGAACCGTTAGTTAAAAAGAACCTGAGTAATGGTTAATTAGAGTTTCACTACAGAAGAATTAAAAGTTGTGTGTTATCTAATTTTCTCAACTGTTTTTACAATACGAAAAGTTTTATATACAATTTTTTCCGCATTGTTTTATTTTTAATTTATTTTCTGATGTAAAATTACCGCTGTATCGTTTATATATTAAAAATCATTTGATAAATCGTCCATATCTATAGTTTAGTAACCATATAGTAGTAGTAACCATATCTATAGAGTAACCATAGTAACCTTAGTAACCATATCTATAGAGTAGTAACAAAAATAGTCATACCATCCAATAAAATCACATTAAGATATCGCCTGTTAATGGAATAGATGCACTGCAAAAGAGATAATTAACGTGTCGAAACGCATAAAAGATACGCAAAATTACGCACTAAAATGCAAAAGACATTTTGATAGTTTAAAGTAATAAATTGATGAACATGAACTCACATTTCCCTTGACATTATCGTAAAGAACTTCCTTCAGATTACCATTCTTATCGTGAAGCATTCTGCCGCGCATGCTAGTAGCGTTTTGTTTTACCAAAGTATCTTCAAGATCGACCGCTCTTAAAGCCTCTCGGCCTCGAAATGACAGCGCTAGATTAATGCTTTGACCAGATGAATCTTCCATTCGTAAATCTAAAGATTTCAAGATTTGAAATTACAATCATCGAGTTGAGAATGAGTATAAATTAAAAAATTTAGAATATATTCGAGGAAATATTCTAATATTTCATAGATTACAAACATAATTACATATGGTCTGTCTAGAATGTCGTTTAACTAAATTTTGTTAACGTTATTTATTAATTATATTGATAAAAAGATATCATATATGTGTCAATTTGCATATCAATCTTAATGAATTAGTATTATAATGAATGACGAAGGAATATTAATTTCTGACAGCAAATTATGATAAAATTCATAATTATATGAGAATTTTAATATAATTTAATATAATATAATTAATATAATATAATATGTAATATAATATATTTAATATAATATAAAAAAATATTTAATATAATATAATGATAAAATATTTAATATAATATAATATAATTTTAATATAATTTTTAGTATTATTTACCTGATCGATATTCATAGACGACTACCTGATGACCTCTTTTAGCGAAAAAACACGCGGCTAATGCTCCAACCTGCAACGAAGACAATAACTCTCTTTTTTCACGTCTTTTTCTTTGCACCAAATTCGAAAAAGTAAAAAATTTATATTCCTTCAATGCAATCTCACGCACCAAACCGCCTCCGACAATGGCAATACGCTTCCCTTCCACTTCTGCCATTCCGTTGTGTATCGAGACTACTGACTAACTGTATTAGCAAACCGTGCTCACGTCTTTTATATACATCTTTGCACCCGGTATTGATTACTAGTCTATTATTCGAAAGAAATTAAAACTTTAATAAATTTATATTATATTACACATTATATTATATTTATTAAAGATAAAAGAGCTTTAACTATTTAAATGGTAAATAATTAAATTTTTTGAATTTTTTAAATTAAATATTAATAATTTTGTTCCATTCTTTTATATTATACTGCATATGTGTATCAATATATTATTCATATATTATTCATATATTATTATTCATATATTTTTCATATATTATTAGAAATTATATGCAAAGATTTATATTAATTTTAACTCGTGCATTTAAAAATTCACAATTGCATTAAAATATAAGATAAACATCTTAAAAAAGAAAAAATTTATTAGCAACAAAAATAATATTACTGCGAGAGTATTTCGCAAATTTTAATCATACACTTTTCTGAAGTGTCAAACTTTATACTCATCATAACTATGTATAATACTTTTCCCGTCACAGTATAATAAAGTAAAATTTCGCTTGTGATCAACATCGAGAGTATCGTGCAATTATCAAATATACCATGTAATTATCTATCGATTAATGCGCGTGATTGTAATTAATATATTTTTGAGAGTAAATGATAAGTGTTTTCGCATGTATAAAGGAGTAATTAATAAAGAAGAGAGCAAAAGGAGACTCAAGAAGCGTTAAGCGATGACATAGTAACCGTGATATTTTATAATTTATTTCATTTATTATTAGTAAATAATGATTAATTATGAATGATATAGCAAAAAATTTATCCTCAAATATAGAATTTATATTTTATCGTATTTTAATATTATAAACACATTTTATATTAAATTATATTTAGTAAGACGTAATGTAATTGTATATTTTATTACTTTTATTATATATCAGAAATGCAAATATTAGATATTACTTTTATTATATATCAGAAATGCAAATATTATAAAACTTTTCAAAATTGTTATTAATAACCAAAGATTAGTTTGCTAAAAATCAAATTCCTGAAATATTCGATATAATTTGAAATTATTATTCCTGCCTTTATAGTTTAAAATTTCTAGCATTTATCTCTACATTTATTTGATATAAAAAATATATAAGTACAATGGTGTTCTTTAAAATCTTCCTCGATAAAGAAGAAAAATCTATCAAGAAATAATAGATTCTGAAATTTTGTAATACATTTCGAGATTTTCGCAAGCAATTAAATATTTTGAGCGATGCAAATATTATGTATGGCAAATTACTTTATTTTATTTTACTCATTTAAACTATCGAAATTTTTAAAAAATACTTTTCAAAAATATCGATAATAGGAAGATGATATACATGTGATCGAATATTTCCATATCTTGAGCCAGATTCAAATGTCATTTTATATGAAAAAATAGCATATTCCTGAAATGAGATGCCGATTTATGGTCCAAGATTTTTACACTCAATTATCAATTAACGGATATTTCTTCCTTGACCGCATATATCTTATCGAAATCGGGGAACTTTAGGAGCTACCCCCCCGAAATGGATGACGGATGGTGCAACGAAGCGGTGCAGCGATGTCATCGTAACCATCGCCATTGTCTTCCTCATCATCACTGTCGTCTTCATGTCGGTTTTCGTCTTCATCTAGGTCTTCGTCATCATCGTCTTTGCCGTTGGCCGTTCTGCCTGCGTAGCCGACGCTGTCCGAAAAATCAAAAATAGCCGATGCGCGGCAGTCAGTGCGGCGATGTCGACGGCGAACGACGGTTCGGCGGTACGGTTCGGCCGATGGTGGTGGTGCTGGCGAAGAAGAAGGCGGAGTATTGCCACCCGCGGCCCTGCGATGCCGACGATGGATTACCCAAGGGCGATGGTCCTTTTTGTCGTGCTAGCGTTGATCTCGATCCTCTTGGGTCACGTTGACGCCGCCGCAAGGACGAAAGCCGCCGAGGAGTCGACCCCGTCCCGCGGCGCAACCGGCAAGCAGCGAGAGGCCGAGCCGGTGATCGAGGAAGTCACTGCCAAACAACTCGAACGGCTCCTTAACGAAAAGGACTTTGTTGCTGTGTATTGGTGTAAGTGTCGCTCTCCGTTCTCATGCTTTAACCAAAATCTTTCTTCATGTATGTCGCGCACAAATCGTGGCCGTGCTATAACAATTGCTTCGTGAACGAGCGGTGACGACACGTACGGCGCAACCCCCTCAATTAACGATGTATGCATGGACAAAATTTACACATTATGTATAAATTTCTAAATAAGATAATATAATAATATAAATATGTATACATATATATATATATATATATATATATATGTATATTAATATTTATATATATTAATATTTATATATAAAAATATATATTAATATATGTATAAATATGTATAAATATATATATATATATATATATATATATAATATTAATAAAATTATAAATATATAAATATTAATATATATGTTATATATATATATATATATATATATATATATATATAAATACACACTTATATATACTTACTTATACACACACACACACACACACACACACACACACACACACACACACACACACGTGTGTAAAACATATATATTAATATTTATATATTTATAATTTTATTTTCACTGAGGTATTTTTCATAATGATAAGACAGCTTCCCAGAGAGACATTTTTACCCAGATGACACTTTTACGCAATGATGTAAAAGCTTTATATTGCGATTGCTGGACGCGTTAAAAAATTTTCCAGTGGAGGGACATTCCTTTTCTAGTCCTAAAATTGACGATGCATCTTGAATCGTCACAACGATATGAAATATCATTTCATATAAGATCGCGCGATGGTCGCTCGATTTTACGAAATCGTGCGAGCACAATCCACGTAGCTGTGATTCGCGTCTATATTCGTATCGACATCGAACTCACGTTTCGATTCTTGTGATTTGGCACTCGCAAGTGGAATGCTGCGCGCCGCGACTCGTGTGGTCATTCTTGTTCTCTTATCCACATTTACATATCATATTTCGTTAATATAAAGGGAAAGATAAAAAAAGTTCCTAAAAAGTTTCTTATTTATTTTTTTACTCGAATATAGCTAGTATATTTTCCCATTTAAATCATAAGTGTAACTAGGAATTCCAATAACAAGCAAATGATACCACAACAGGTGCCGTATCTGGTAGCAATTAATATTTGTATATTAATTTAATATTAATTTTAAGCAATAAATATTAAATAAATTAAAATAATTCACATATGTATAGAAAAAAATATAATAATTATAAAATAAAATAATGTATACTATCGTGTTGTGATAAATAAAAATATAAAAAAGAGAGAGAGCAAGAGAAATAGCAGCAAATATTAATCAAGATAATGAAATATACAAGTTTAGCAAATTATGACATTAAAATGCAGATTTTATATAAATGATTGTTTATAGATTAAATAGATTATTTTGATCTTTTTAAAGATTCATACTTTACGATTTTATCTTGCGAGGCATTCTTGTGTAGAATCGTATAATCGACGACATCCATATATAATCTTTATCGATTCTTCGTCTTTTATGGCATCTTTTTCTAATCATGAAAACGCATTAACATTTTCCGGGCTCATCGTTAGTACATTATATAACACGAGTGGGTGTTGATGAAAGCTACAGTTAGAGTTACGGAACGCTGTTCGTCATTGAAACTGTTCTATATATGCAGCGAAGAAAAGAGTAACCTTATATACGAGATGGTACGCCAATGAAAAACAGTAATGTGATTACATTTTGCAGGCCAAAATATTTTGCCGTAGCTCACGACAGCACACGTAAATAAATCGTTTCCAAAAAAAAATAAAATTTTTCTTGCCCATATTTGTAGTTCGAATATAAAATTTCGGATTTTTACTATTTTTTTATTTTCGGAAAGAAAATTTTTTTATTATCGTATAAACATAACTCTCATGAAAAGTTATAATTTTGTCATAACGATACGTTTTATCGATACACGCTTCGTAAACGATAATTCTACTCCCGCAAATTACCCTCACGTGAGAATTAACAGGTACTAAATTCCCTCTTTCTGCCAAGTGCTACGACCGCTCAGTAGGACAGCCTGTCTCAAGGTAGCTTTTTGAATTTGCTAATCTGGCAGTTTAATTACACAACTTGCACAAATGATTAATTTAATTTAAACTATCTCTCGTTAATCTCCTAGGTAATAGAAATTATCGAGATAGATTGGACAATCTCGATTTAAGTAAATGTGTTTTTAAAATACTGATATTGAATTGCTATATGCTGAATATACCGAAGGTCATATCTCATATGGCAACATGCCAAAATGCATGCTTGTGTACGCCTTTCGAAGCTCCCCAAAGATAATTGATGTAATACAATCCCCTTCTCTCTCTCTCTCTCTTTCTCTCTCTCTCTTTCTTTTTCTCTTTTTCTTTCTCTCCTTTTTCAACAGTCAAAATGAATGTCTGCAAAAATATTTTACGTTGCACGTGTCTCTTCACATCTTTTTACGAAAATAATTTTAAAATTGAAAAAAAATTGTATAAATTTAAATGTATCTCCCTCCCCGACATGTCACGTAAAATGCACGTTTTTTTTTAAATTGTGTACATCCGCATTTTGTCAATATTGAAGGCAAAACTGGATCCGTGGTATTTACTCGTTAGAGAGCAATCCAGGAAATACATATAGCGAAAACTGACTCATTAACGTGACGCATAACAAGATGCAGAAGCATACGAGCCATGATGTTAAAACATCAACCGCGATTCGTTGAATTTAAATTCAAAATTTAATTTATGATCCTATTTTAATAATATCTTAATGTTCACCCAATTAAACGTAATACATTAATATGTAATTTTTGTAAATTAATTGTTTTTATTGTTAATTTGAATTCAAATTATAAAATAAAACATCCGCGATTGAATTAAGTTAACGATAATTAATTTGTAT